AACAGGAACCACCCTCACTGGTCACAGACATTCTCAAAAGCATGACCCTGCAAGGCCATTGCTGGGTCTGCATTCTGGAAGGATCTCTGCCCACCAGCCTCCCTGGCCTCATCAGAAGAGGGCCGTGGAGATGATGTGCTTCTTAGCTGCCCGTCCCACCTAGTGCAGGAACCACGGCAGGGACCTCTGGAGGCAGGTCTTGAAAACTGGTCTTTTGTTTACCGTTGTCTGGTGCGGGCCCTCTCTGCTGGTCTCCCATGAGTGGGGGCTTCCTTGAGGCTCCCCGAAGCCGTAGGCTTGCCAGGCTGTTTCCTGTTCTCTAGCCAAATGGCAACCGCTTGAGGAAGATGCAGCATCCCCTCCTGCAGCCCATGACGTTGGGTCACTACAAGCCACACCGGCGTCCCCGTACATCTGATCCTGGTGGCAGGCTCTCTCCACGCCAGGCCTGCTGTCACGTGCTGCCCGGAAGGGTGAACAGATTGCGGCCCGTGACGCCCTCGTCAGGGGTGAGGACCTCCTAGCCAGCCAGCTTATAGCAAACACTGGGTTCTCTGATGGTCAGGAAGTTGGTACAAAAGCCACGGGTCTGGTCCTAGGATCCCGTGCCTTCTTCGCTGTAGCTTCCTGAGAAGGATTCCTCTGTAGAACTCTTGTTCCGATGTGAACCTCTTGGCCAGAGCCACCAAAATTTTTGTGTCTTTTCAGGAGACGTTTTCCAGTCTCATCCAGCCTTCCTTCTCGAGTTTTCTTTCCTTTGTACGTCTCATTGTCCAGGTTTCTTGTTTTTCCGTGGAGGTGACTTTTAGGGCCCTCACTCCATAGGCAGCAGGGGCCTTTATCTTGGGAGACAAGGGGTCTGCCTTTTCTTCTGCTCCGGGTCATCTGTTTCTCTGAGACCGGCCCCCAGTTGCTTGGTTCCTGTCTTCCTGTAAGATATGCTCCCCAAGCGTCTGTTCTTTCCTGGCTTTCCATCCACACGTAAGAGCTAGGTCCTCCCACGGACGGCTGCTGCACCTGCCAGGGTGGTCTGCTGGCTGGTTCTTTGTCCGGTGGGCTTCACTGGGGGCAGGACACAAATGCCTGTCTGCAGCCTTCGTCCTGGGCTATCGTCTGCTGGGGGGTGTTGGGAAGGTTGGGGGTGGCGTGGCTGGCGTGCAGAATTTCAGGCATCCATAGTCAGTGCAGGATGTCGTCCCCATTCATTGTGAGGGCCCAGGCCCATCCGCTCTGCTGGATGCGGTGGGATGAGCGGCAGGCCGGGGGGCTATTACAGCTTTGGAGGGGGAACGCTCTGTTGCCTTAATTTTTTAAATTTTTCTGGAAAGTTTCACATGGAGTTCTTTCTCTCTCTGCCTATTTCCAGTGTCTAGAGTTAAGATCACTGTACTTGTATTTGTATCGGTAAGGATTAGAGGAGCCCTTTTGTGTCCGACAATGTCCTGGCTGGTAGGGCCGGGAGTGGGATTCCATTTTAAGGACCAAGTGGAAGCAACAGTAAGCGACCACCCCAGTCACCCCTGAAAACCTTAGGCTCCTTCGTGCTGAGCAGAGCCAGAGCCAGCCTTCTGGGCCATGATATTTGACCTGCTGCTGAAGAGGGCAGCTTTGCGTAGCAGCAGGGTTGCCACGGTTTGGCCCAATTTCTAGGAGCCTTTGGCCTCCACGTGGCTCCGGGAACTGCTCGAGCCTGGGGCAGACCCTGAGCGTGGGAGCTGTGGGGCACGAACATTTTTTCACAGGAGCCTGAGGGACGTGTAATTCATGGAGCTCACAACTAACCCATTTAAGTTGTCCAGTTCAGTGGTTCTCTCTCTGTTGACAGTTGTGCAGCTCGCACCGACGTGGATTTTAGAACATCTCTGTGTCACCCATGAAAGCCAGCTCCCCCCGCCCCAGCCCTGCACCAGCACCCAGTTCCTCTCTGCTGTAGGTGAGGGCCAGCGTGCTGCAAGGGGATCGGAAGGACCGTCCCTCCCAGGGTGGTGCATGCTGGTCGGGGACGTGCTGCAGGCTGGGGTGGGACATGCGCACACATGCACGCACACACACATATGCACACACGCCCACACACGCTCCTCTGTAGCTGTGATCCCCAGTGCTGACGGTGGGGCGCCGTGTGCGGTTGGGGTCAGGTCGAATGTGGAGCACCTCCCAGAGAATAGCTTTAATTGCAAAACATGCTCATTAAAACACCGACCAGGGCCCGAAACCGGAATGGAAATATTATAGGGAGAGAAGTAATTGGTGAACCCGGGAGCACCCTGGGGAGATGTCTGTTTAAAATTAAGTAGCTTCCTGGTGTTTCTCCTCCTAGGTAGGAAACAGTTTGCCTCAGGGTAATTTCTGGAAGAGTGGGTCAGGAGCTGCTTTTGAAATAGCTGTTGCAGTAAATAATAAGAAAATGTTTATTGTTAAACCTTAATTGGGGATGACTCTTACAGTAGGAGATTGCGTGTTTGAATCCGTTATAGACGGTGTTTGATTTCGCTACTAATTTGCTAACCCAAGTCCCTGACCTACAAAATGTTGTGTTTTGTTTCACTAAAAACTCCACACGTATGCATGTATTATCTGGAATCTTTGTTTTTTTAAACTGGAAGGTGCCTAGGAGGTCATCTCGTGTGCTCAGAGCCTCCCCTTTTGTTAGCTAAGAACGGAACTACGGAGGTTGGGGCACTGAACTCAGGAGCGGTTCTCAGCCCCTGTCTTCCTACAGGCTGTGTCCCTGATTCTCAGTTCCCATCCTGACACCTCGCCTTCATGGGGGGCTCAGAAGCCCTCCCTGGGCACGTAGCTCACTTCCCAAGAATTGCCCTGGGGTCTGGGAGCGATGCAGCCCTGGGCCGGCTGGGCTGCCTGGAGCCTGGCTTCCCCACCCCAATTCCCAGGATCCTGTGCCAACTCTTGTCTTCACCCACAGCCCTGTTTTCTGACGTTCCACTCTGCCTTGTGACCTGTCATAGGCCAGAAGCCACATCCTCTTTCTGGTTGCCCTGATGATGATAGGGGGGTGCTGTGAGTGCACCCTCTTGTGGGGGCTTTCACAGCACGGACGGCACAATGCCGGGCCCTTCTGGCAGGTAGTGGGGTGGAGTTTATTGTGTCCATTCGCAGCTGCCAAAGGAAGAGACAAATGGTTAAGGACAGAAACACTGCCTTTAAATATTCGTCGTTCTTGCTTCTGTGTATGACACTGTGGCACAGGGCTGCATGCGTGTGTTTGTGTGTGTTCGTGTGTGCGTGCGCGCGCGTGTGTGTGTGTGCATGGGTAAGCGTGTGCATGGAGCCCTCAGCCAGATTCCCCGTTGGAAACTCTTTCCTTCCTCCTCTGGTTCGGGGACGGCAGCCGTCCTCAGGCATGAGCTGGGACGGATCTTGGCTCCATGCCCTCCAGATCTGGAGAGCCCGGAGGCCTCAGAGAGCATCGTAGGCAAGTGTGTGATGGAACTTTCTAGCCAAAATACTAACGAAGGAGGTTTCTGTTGGGTTGTGGGAAAACTAAGGAAAGTGGAAGCAACATCATACGTCTTTTAACCACGGCTTACAAGAGGAAAATTGCGGAATGTGTTTGGACGGCCACAGGTGGCCTTACGCAGAACGGGGGCCGGGGGGTGATGTGGACATGACAGGGCGGACACCCCACCCCTGCCCTGACATGCTGGTGTTTGGACCGCATCTCCCAGAACCGAAATAGTGTCAGAATCTCTTTGTTGTGGTTCTGGGTTTGGAAATACAAAGCTGGTGCCCGTGGGTCAGACAGCGGCCTGGTGCTTTGCTGCCCGCCTTTGCGGAGATGGCCGGTCCCCGCGTTCGGGCATCTCTGGAAGAATGAGCACTGGCCAGTCGGGCCAGTTTGAGTTACTGACCTCCCCTGGGAGGTGCTGGCGGCCTGGCTGTTGGAGCAGACGCCAGCCTGTGCTGCTGAGTCATTCCAGGAGCAGGCGCCCCCTCTAACGTTCCTTGCCTCTCGTGGGCCCAGAACCTATTTTGACCTGCTCCGTCGGGTTTTTTTTTTTTTTTAAACGATTTGATGAAGAGGAAAAGGGAATTCAAATGAAGAGGGTGAATTCTGTGTCCCCGGGAGTCTGAAGGTGTCCCTGCCGTGTAAATCGTGCTGCCGAGTTAACACGGGCACGCAGCCTGTGGGAACCCCTGGCGTGCTCTGAACACCTTTCGGGAACGGTCGGGAGCGCGGTGAAGGTGGGAGTGGATACACGTCCCCTCCAGTCCCCCAACCACACCGCCCTTGTCCTACAAAGAACCTTTTCTGAGCAGTTGCTACAGGCAGGGCTGTCCTCTGTTCTCGCTTGGGTTTGCATTTCCGTTTGTAACTAAAGTTGCAGTTAGCAGCCTGTTGATGACTTGTGCGTCTGGAAGTCAGGTGTGCTGGATACATAATGTCCAGATTTTATGAAGACGAAGACGTTTCTTGGAGGATAGGCAACCTTGGTTTGGTGTGGCACACGCACGCACGGTGTGGCTGGGTGTGTGCGGCCGCCTGCCAGCAGGGGCCCAGAGCTGGTCACACAGGGAGTCACGGGCTGTTCCTCTGCCGGGTGCCTGCCGGCCTGGCGAGGGTGGTTCCGCCCCGTGGTCGAGCTCCACAGCTTCTCAAGGCCCGGCCTGTCTTTACGCTTGCTGCTGAGCGGCGACCATGGTGGTTTAGCTTCCCAACGAGCGTACTCTGCGAGCTAGCGAGCCCCACTAAGGTATGCCTGCGCCCACCCCGGTAGGCGGGAGGTGGCGGTATGTCTGAGCCTCGCTGGGGCCCCGCCGGGTTCCTACCTCTGTCTTCACGTGTGCGGGAAAAGGAAAACCCGTATCAGTGTCAGCAAGTGTCCCAGATCGGATTTTGGCTTCACTCTGTGAACCCAGAGTGACGCTGGGGTTCTGTGACGTCAGGCGACCCCACCATCAGGTGAACCAGAACGTTCTGCAGCCGCCTCGCGGCCTCATCCCTGTCTCCCCTGCACTAACACGCGCTCTCCTTGTTGCAGGTGCACTTTCCGATTCCCCAGCACGGCCATAAAGATCCAGTTCACGTCACTGTACCGTCCAGAGGAGGCCCCAGCATCTCCCCTCCGGCCCCTGTACCCGCAGATCTCCCCTCTGAAGATTCACATTCCGGAGCCGGATCTCCGCAGCTTGGTCAGCCCCGTCCCGTCCCCGACCGGCACCATCAGGTAAGCACCCCCCAAACCCCCGCCAAGCACTGGGGTCCCTCTGCTCTGGCCGTCTGTGTGAGAAGCAGGATAGGGGACACAGGCGTTCCAAGTCTTGGACAGCGCTCAGTAGGTCTCTGGAAAACTGCAGGGCTTGGAGATTTTGAAACTATTTTAAGTGCGTCAAGGGACCTGACGCCTTAAGTCTCCGGAGAGTTCTCTCCTGGATTGGAGAGCCCCTGCTGCACAAATCACTTCTTCAGTCCGCTCCGCTGGGTCTCGGGAGCTTTCTCGAGAAGCAGCACAGGTGTGGTTGCTCTAAAGACACAGCTCTTTCATCTGTGCACGGCAGGACTTGAACTTTGTTTTTCTAAACTTCATTTACGAAGTTTTAAGACTTGATCTAGAGTCAGAAGGAGAGAAAGTCCTCAGACGTTCTCGTCCTCAGTGTGGTGTACAGAGAGAGTCCTTGGGGGAGGGTTTCGGGGAGATCCCCGTAGAGAGGGGCTAGCTGGGCTCTCGACTTCGTGTCCCACCCACTCTCCATGTGGTACTGGTGCTGGTGTCACGGCTCCGGCCTCGGCACCGGCAGCCTGCCCATGGCTGCTGCATCATTGGTGTGAATGTCAGACCTGGAAAAGGCAGGTCATGTCTGAGTCTGGTTTTGCCCCCACATACCTCCTGCAGGGGTCTCGGTCCTCAGGGGTGTCTCCGAGTCCCGCCTAGAGAACCGCTGCTGCTCGGGTGAGAGCTTTGCTGTCCCTACAGTCGTCTGGCCAGATGCCATGCCGTCCCTCACTAAGGGACGCTCTGGTGGCCCTCATGTTCTAGAACCGTGTGTCCCTTGGTCTTTCTGGAACAGTCGTGCCTCACCGCGCGTCCTGTTCTCCTGCTAGGACACGTTGCTGACACACTGGGAACAGCTTGCATTCAGCTGGCTTGGAGTCCAGGTCCTGAAGAGCCAGGGACGAGCTGTGTCTCCCTCTTAGGGAGGGAGTACAGTGTTGATCATGGCGTGGCCTGGAACTCAAGCCTGGGCCCCTGGTTCTGGTTCTGGCCATGTATCTATGGGAGAACCAGGGGCTTCCTTGGGCCTTGTTTTCCTTGTTGTGAGCCCAGAGGCAGATGTCCTGGCTCTGGGAGATGGGGACGAGCAGCAGCGTCCTGCGAGCCACAGGCGCATGAGGTCCTGTGCTCAGCACGATGCTGGCAGCATCGCCCACTTCAGGTTCCTAGAATGACTCTGCTCTAAAGCCCCGCGTGGACGTGTGATCTGGTTGTTACAGACGGCGAGCTGGAACTTAGTGTAGAGCAGGAGTTTCATGCTCACGTGAAATATCCCTGCACTTTCGTATCTGTGATGTATCCACGGCTGGGAAATGAGATGCGGGGAGATGAGGTGGCCCCAGCGGACGAGGCTCTGGCTCTTCCTCACACGGCTGATGGGCCGCTCCGGACCCGCAGCTCACCGGAGCGGGAGGTCCTGGCCGGAACTCGTGCACAAGCGCTCAGGGCATCGGTGTCCCTAACAGCCGCGAGGCGGGAACCCCTCGGGGTCAGACGTGTGCAGTCACGGTGGAACGTTATTTGGCCATTAAAAGGGATGAAGCGCTGACACGTGGCAGAAGGGGGCTGCCCTGTGGGAACACGATGCGGAGTGAGGGCGGCCAGGGCAGACGGCCGCCACCGTTAGGACACCGTTGATAGGAAACGCCTGGAACAGGCGGGCAGCTGTGGTGCTGGGGGTCGGAGGGTGGGCTCGCCAGCTGCTGCAGCGTTTGTTCCTGGGGTGATGATGGAAACGCCGTGGACTCAGTGGGGATGGCCGCTGACTCCGTGAGTACCCCAGAAATGCGGGGCTGTGCTCTAATGCGGGACTTACCTCTCAGCGAAGCTGACACAAAACCAGGCCTGCCCTGACCCCTTCGTCCAGGAGCGGCCTAAAGCCGTGGCGGGTGCAGTGACCAGCAGCGTGTCATGCCCGTGCTGCTGGCCGCTCGCGGCTGGTCCTGGGCAGCTGGGGGCGCCTGGAGGGCCAAGGCCATCGGCTTATGATCCAGCCCAATAGATGCTTTCTAAGAAAGAAAAATGTGTTGGTTTTTTATCTGGAGGGCTTCAGAAAGTAAATCTGTCTCCCAGGAATAATCCAAGTCCGAACGGGGGCCACCCGCTTATGATATTCAAGCCAGGCTTTGTGGTCCGGACGTCACTTTTGTGTCAGAAGGAGGCGCGAGCTGGAGGTAGTCAAGGGAAGTATGGACGCTGCTGTTAGGGGTTGAGCCTGTGTGGCTGGAGCTGTGCTGAGCCTTCCGGGAAGCGAGGGGCCAGGCCCCAGCCTGATTTGTGGGGGCGCTGTGTCCTGCCCACCCCCCCTCTCCTTTCCACTTGGCAGAAGATTTGGGGAGAAAGCCACTCTGGGACTGGCTCTCTCTCCCTTTCTGGTCTTTAAATATCAGAGAAAGGACCTCTGTTTACATCCGTTTATCTTAGCACTGTGGAATCCACTTGAGTGTTTAGAAACCTCAGGGGCCCTTGTGGTTTCACTTGCCAAGATCTGTTCATCTTCTGGGCGGTTGCAGGGGTGGGGCCGTGTGTTTACAAACACCCACCCCCTCCTCCACCCTGGGACGCCCCCCCCCCCACCTCCCCACCCCACAGCGCTGGAGGAGGGGCCCAGGGCAGAGTGGGTGGGGCTGGCCCCCTGCGCGTGGCCTGACTGCTGCAGCTGTCCCCCACTTCCTGTCCCTTCTGACTAGACAGCGGCGGGAGGGGAGGGAGCCCCTTTTCCTAGTTTGGTGTGCCTGTGTCCTGCTCTCGCCATTGGCCAGCTCACCCGCACCGCCTAGGGGCCTCGGTCTGGGTCGCTTTCCTGCCGGAACCCAGTTTCGCCGGAACCCAGTTTCTCCAGCACCCTGGCCTGAGCCCCCGTCCCCTCCAGGGTTTTCTGAGTGGCTGTCCCTGGAGGAACATTCCCGGGAGGAACTTTCTGGAGAACAAACAGCCCCGCCCCATGCCGCGGCCCCACCCGCCTTCCTTTCAGTTTGGCCTTTTCCTGCTTCCCTGGCAGGCCAGGGGGTGTGGCGCGCCAGCGGGTTGGATTTGTGTTTTGGTTTTGGGCGTTTGTGTGTGTGCGCCCCCCCCCCCCCCCCCCCCCCGCCCCGCTCGCTGATGTACTCCACCCAGAAAATGAATGAATGCTCTTTGAAATAAATTCTGCTGTCTCCAGCAGCATTTTGTTGACTTTTTTCTTTTTTTGCAAAGAAGTGGTGTTTTTAGGAAGAAAAAATCAGTTCATCATTTTCTGGGTTTTACAAAGCGAGACCTCGATCTATAAAGAGCTCTTGGAGCCGGGAGTTTCAGGGACAGAGTGGAAATGAAGGCAGAGTGGGCGGGGTGCGGAGCTGGTCTTCACAAGAGCCAGACTTTACAAGTGGTTTCTTTAAGAAGCTTTTCCTTTCCTTGATTTTTTCAAGGTGTAGAGCTCAAAAACCTGAGTAATGTGTGTTGTGACTCTGGCAAAATCTAGGCCACCAACTTCCAGCTGAAAACCACCCTTGACCGTGGTCTTCAGACTCAGTCCACCCCATCAGTGGTTGGAGCTCAGCCATCTTCCCTTCCCTGCAATCCATCCCATCCCGTCCTGTCCTGTTGGGGAGAAGTGCTTGCGTTTTTCCAGCCGACGGGGGCCCTTTCTTGGTGTGACGTTTCCTGCGTCACAGCTCCCAGCCCTGCCTCCAGACGCCTCCTGTCATGCCAGCAGGGGCCTTTGCCTGCTGATGCATCCGTTGCTCCAGGAACCCCAGTGTCTGAGGCTGACTTGGGGGCCACTTTCCTTTCTGGCACCTCTCCTGTGGGCCTCGCACCCCCACCTTGCCCTTGCCCTTCCCAAACTCCAAGAAATAAAAATTGGATCGTCCAGACAGAAAGGCGGGCCCCCGCGTTCTCTATTTTCCCTTCTGCCAAAATCTGTGCCAGGATGTATTTTAGCTCTAAAATGTTGAGATAAAGTTCTTATATTCACTGGAGTAGCCGTTTTCTGGTTCTTGGCCACATCTCACGGGGGCCCTTTGAAGGTTCCTGCTTTGAGTGTTCTTGGCCATGCCTTGTGGGCGACGCCCAGCCTTGTGGGCACTGCTGCTCGGAGTGGGCCCATGAGCCCGCGATACTGGGTCTCCCAGGCCTCACACTTGGGAAGTAGGAAGAACCTGGAGTGCAGGGGCTGGGGCATCCCCGCAAGGTCTGCCCCAGACAGGCTGCCCCTCAAGGTCTGTGTGCCTGGCGACACCTGGGCTGACCAGCAGCTCAGGCCAGCGTGCCGACCGCTGTGCACGGGGCAGAATGCATTATAGAAACGTGTTGGGCTTCTGAAATAGCTTCCCAGGATTTCGCAGCATCGCATTTATCGTAAGCGTTCCTAAGAGAGGCCTCAGAAGCTGGCCTCTGGCTCTTCTTTCCCTGTCTCTCATTCTTTCCAGGTTACAGAATTACTGTGTGTGCATTGCACACAACTCAAACATTCCCGAGAATGAAGCTCGCGGAGTGCACCGTTCCCAGGACTGGCTCGATGCAGTCTCCCAGCAGCTTGTCTCAAAGGGCTGCTATGGGTTTCTCCTTCCCTTGTCACCACACTGCAGGGGCTCAGATTGCTTCCTGAGTCCCCACAAGGGGACCCATGGGCCGTTTCCAGGGTCTTGCCCTCAGGGGCAGCCCTCCCGAAACGTCTGCCTACATGTCTTCCGCGGGGGCGATGGATTCTCAGATTTGGTTATTTTGTTGAAGATAAACTCTGGGAGGGTCAGAGCTGCGGGAATCGAGGAACAGTGATGAGGAGAGGAACTGGGACACTTATTTTAGAGAACAAAAACATCCTAATCTTCAGAAAAGTTCGAAAGGCGTGAATGAGAAACAGAATTACCTCTCAGCTCTGTATCTTCATCGGACGTATGATCTTCTGCCTGAAAAGTCTGTTTGCTCAGCCGCCGTTGAGGAGCTGATTCTGTTTTTTGACTAAAAATTAATAATCTAATGAAAATCTCAGTAGCACTCCACAAAAAAGACTGAGCTTCCAGAAAACCATCTGGATGATCCCTGAAGCGGTGATATGGGACTGGGGCTCATGGAGGGTACCCGGTGGCCACTCTAGGGGCTGGGGCGGGAAGTGGGACATAGATGCCCCCCAGCAACCGTCCTAAGCACACTGTTTGGGGCACGGGGGCCGTGGTTCTCTGCATGATGGCCAGGAGCGGTCCCAGGAGGGGAGAGGACCTAACTGCGCCTTCCAGACTTCAGCCCAGCCTCTTTTTCCAGCACCCACACCTGGGTGGTCCCAGGCACCCACACTGATCTCAGCTATGCGGTTCGAATCTGGGGAGGCCGGCTTGGGAAGAAAATGCCCACAGTCCCAGGGCAGACCAGGCGGGCCGGCATCTGAGTGGGGGTCCAGGCCTGGTGGAGCCTGGGGCAGCCTGGAGGGGTGGCAGTGGGACGCCATGGAAAAGGCCACAGGGACGGAATTGGCTGGCCTGCCTTCTTTCCCACTGGTTTTTCTCAGCATGAATTCTTATCGTCATAGTGAGACCTAGAAACAACTTTTCCCATCGGGTTGCTCCTTCTTTTCCAGAATCTGTCAACATAGGGTGCAGAGTCAAGGCCAGGTGTGACCCGCGTGGTCACAGAGGTCACGTGCTGGGCCCGGCAGTCACAGAGCCAGCTTGGGTTTGCCCCAGCCCGGAGAGCTGCTGGCAGGACAGGCCAGCCCAAGCAGCCGGCCCCCGAGACCATGAACCTGTCTTGCCTGAAACAAAAATGTGACTTCAGAGCTGGTTTCCCAGAAAAGGGGGAGTCAGCGACCAATGGTTGAAAGTGCACGTTCTGCTGCATTTCCCCCTGGAATCCTGAACTGGGAAGAATGGGCACTCGTGTGGTGTGACGTCTGGTAGGCGGCAGCCACTTGGGCTCCCGTGTGCCCAGATGCAGACTCCCCCGCCACCCCGACAAAGTGAGCGGTTCTTTGCTAAGCCTGGCCGGCTCAGTCAGTAGAGCCTGCAACTTTTGATCTCAGGGTCACGAGTTCAAGCTCCACATTGGGCATGGAGTCTACTCCAAAAAAAAAATCTTTTTTCCAGCTTTTGCTAGTAGGGAGGGAGATTTCCAGCACGGTGGGATACATCTCTGTATGGGACACCGAGTGTCTTGGTTGGTTCCTGAGCCCCTTGAGCCCCCATCTCACACCTGCCCCTTAGAGGCCCATCTTAGAGCCGAGCTTATGTGGCTTCTTGATTTCATCCTTCTCTTCCAGAGGCGGTGCGACGTCAGGGCCCTCGGGTGCCAGGGACAGCCGTCTCAGCACAAACAGGCCCGTGGGGACAACTGAGGGGGTCACGGGAAAGCTTGAGGCTCTGAGACTAGAAGGGCTGTGCGCACACACACATTCTCCTGGGACAGGCCCGCAGGGACCGTGACGGCAGTGGCGCTCTATCCCCTGCGAGCGCGGGCCAGCACAAGTCCCCGGCTGCCCCCGTGCTTGTTCCCCTGTGAATTATTCCCGTTCGAAATCACTCTTGGTGAATGACAGCCTTTACTCTGGGTTTTGCCTCTGAGAGTTAGAGATAATTTTCTGCAGTCTTTTGCAAAATAGTGACCTGTGGTGGCCAGCACAGCCCCATGTGCCTAAGCCCAGAGGTCGTGTGTGTCCTCGCGCCTGGTAGGGGCGGCTGGTCCACGTCACACAAGGGCAGGAAGCCATCTGCCTCCCGGCTGGGTGTGACTTTGTGTCCAGGAGTGATGGTTCTTGTCCCTGTGGTCTGATGTGCTTTACTGTGTTCAGGTCCATAGGGGGCGTCGCGTGTGTGCGGGAACCAAGCAGGCGGACAGGGCTGCCACGCACCAGCCATCCCGTGCTTCTGCACTGTTTGGCGGAGGACAGCACAGAGAATCTTCAGGAAAGGCGCCTCACCTCAGGGTCGTGTGACTGCTGAACCACAGCTTCGTGCCACACAGTGGCATTTGGTTCCCAGATGGCTGTGTTTGAGAAGCCTGCTTTCGAGCGTGTGACTGTGTTACCGGTCCCCTAACGTTACGAGCTTGGGTGTTGTTTATCTGGTTCCGAATTAAGTTAAGAAAAAGAGAACGTCTCAGCTAAGATTCCTTGAGTCTGGGGCACCCGGGCGGCTCAGGAGAGGGATGGAGGGGAGGATGCAGGAGCACATAGGGCATGTTCCAAAAGCTGGGGCCTTCTGGACCGTTCCTGGTGGGGTGCTGCCTTGGAGGAGCTCTCCTGAGGGCAGGGGCCCAGGTCCGCTGTGACTGGCCTTGTCCCCGCCCCGTGGTCCCACGTGGGGCTGGCCAACGGGGCACCTTTTACCTGGGCTTGTTGCCTAGTGTTTGCATTGGTGTTCTCTGAACATTTTGTAATAGAATTAGTTTTCAGAATCGTAATTTCATTATAGTTTGATAATCAAAGTCCACATTGTCAACGAGAGGCACTGTGCCAGCACCTGTCACCGCTGGGCTGGGCTGGGCCAGGCGAGCTCCAGCAGGATGCGGGCCAGGGACCCTGCAGGCCTGGCAGTGGCCAGTGTGTGCTCAGGATCTGCTTGAGCCACAGGTGTGTCTGGCCCGTGTATTTGGCTGCAATTCCCCACTTCCGATTGGCACGGCAGCCCGGGAGAGAGAGACACTGGGCCACAGAGGTGGAAGTCATGGCCCCGAGAAACTGGGGGAGGGCCCATCCCAGAGGTCCTGATGCCCCTGCGCAAGGCCTTGTCTCCCCAGCCCTGGTCCACAGCGCCCTCGTGTGGACAGTGAGCACACGACAACCAGCCCAGGGCAGGCTCAGCAACCCCTGCCCTGTGGGTGGTGCCCCTCTGGGCACAGGCTGTGTGCGGTGCTGGGGCGGGGGTCAGGACCCACAGCTCCGCACCACGGTCAGAAACTGCCGCTGTAATACCACACATCGCACCTGCCGCATGTGGACATGTACTGTTCCCTGGCTGCTCACGGGTGGTCCTTTATCAGAGGCAAGGTGTGACATCCTGACAGCACAGCACAGGGAAGGAAGGGGTAGCATTTCCCCGTAGCCCGGCATCTCCCAGCATCACCTGGCAGGTCCTGAAGTCCTGTGACTTCATGTCTTCCTTGCTAGGGTCATGAACTCAGGCCGTGTCGTTTCTCTCCGCAGTGTTCCCAACTCCTGCCCGGCCAGTCCACGTGGGGCTGGGTCGTCCAGCTACCGCTTTGTTCAGAACGTGACCTCGGACCTGCAGCTGGCCGCAGAGTTTGCCGCAAAGGCCGCCTCGGAGCAGCAGGCAGACACATCCGGAGGGGACAGCCCTAAGGTCTCAGGCCTCACAGCGCACGCAGCTGCGTGGTGACCGTGCCCGGGGCACGGCGCGGGCACACCCAGGGCTGCTCCAGTGAGCGCGGCGGGCTTGCGGGGTGCGGGCGTGAGAAGGAGCCGCACTCGGGGGCAGGACGCCAGCCCTCTGCCTGGATAGCACACCTGGCTCCCTCAGTGACATCGCTCAGGCCCCAGGCCCTCTCTCCGGCTCTGCACCTCCTCGGCCTTCTGTCCTCATCCCCTCTGTGGGTGACATGACGGCTTCAGGGCTTTTCCTTACAGCTTTGGTATCTTAGCTCATTCTCCTCTGATATCTATCTTTAAATCGATTTGCTAAGGAAGTGAGAAATTTCAGAATTAAATTATGATGAAAATCTGATTTCTCCCTGTGGGGCTGGAACAGCTGTCCCTCGTTGAGTGCACGCGCATTGGCAGGCCGCAGGTGGTCCCTGGGATTGAGTTAGCTGGTCTCGGTTGCTCTCCAGGAGCGGGGGCACACGGCGGGTGGCCCGGAAAGCCTGCCAGAGCTGACGGCCGCTGCCTTTCCCTTCAGGATGAGTCGAAGCCGCCGTACTCCTACGCTCAGCTGATCGTGCAGGCCATCTCGTCTGCGCAGGACAGGCAGCTAACACTAAGTGGGATCTACGCCCACATCACCAAGCATTACCCCTACTACCGCACGGCTGACAAAGGCTGGCAGGTGAGGCCCGAGCCCAAGAAGCCAGACTCCCAGTCTGGGAACAAGGAGGTTAACAGGGAGGTCATTTTCTGTGGGACAGAGTGGTCCCAGGGGGGAGTGTCTCTGCTGACGGCCCATGGCACATCGGAACTGAGCGACAGCCCCAGTGAGTCCAAATAGTCTTGTCTTCCTCCGACGTCCAAAAAAGGGAGGGCAGTTGCCTGGTGTTTTCAAGCCTACCGTGGCTTCCAATTGTGCGCTGTGTTGGAAATGGACCATGCCCCCGTGCTCTCACAGCGGCCCGCGTGTACCGGGACCGTCAGACCTCGTGTCAGGCTTGTTCAGGAACGTTTTCCCCATGGTTCTTCTTTTCCCCTGGCCAGTTGACTTAGTACAAGTTCTGATCTGCAGACTCTGGGTCATGGCCCGTCTTTCAGTTTCACTTTTTGTCCGAGAAATGCCGCGCTAAATTTTGTTAGGAAAAGCTACCACTGTGCCTTTGCACTTCCCGGTAGAATCCAGTGACCTTGCCCGCTGTGGGGCGCCCGCACCAGCACGAACGCTGGGCTCTCCCATCGCCTCTGGTCTCGTGTCTGTTACATTTAGATTCCGTTTTCTGACATGCTAACTGGTGACTGTCTCTGCTTGCCCCCAGAATTCCATCCGCCACAACCTCTCTTTGAACCGTTACTTTATTAAAGTCCCTCGTTCCCAGGAGGAGCCTGGGAAGGGGTCTTTTTGGCGAATAGACCCTGCCTCGGAAGCGAAGCTCGTGGAACAGGCATTCCGAAAACGGAGGCAGAGGGGCGTCTCCTGTTTCCGCACCCCCTTCGGGCCTCTGTCTTCCAGGTAAGCCCCCGCTCTGCCCTCGCTCAGCACCCTGGCTCCCCAGATGTCCACCTTCACGGGACCACCTCTGGCTCTTCAGACGCGTCACTTTTATGTTTTTGAGTGAGACGGTGTCAGGACCGGTGACTCTGGGACAGTGAAGTTAGTAAGTGGGCCGCGGGCTGCTCCTCTGACGGGTCTGTTCTCAGAAGCTGAACCGTGGGCGGCGGTGGGACCAGAACCTGCAGCCAGAGAGGAGTGGAAGGGGCTTGCGGGGTTCCGTGGACGCGAGTGTGCTGGCAAAGGGCCCGACAGGACAGGTCTGGCCGAGCTCAGACAGGCTGTGTTGTTAACGAAGCTGCCGTTGGGAAGTGGGCACTGTCTGCCCTCTGGTCAGGGCCCCTCCCGCTCTGCACATGGACGGGCCAAGAGGTCTTCCCAGGTCGCCAGTCCAGGGAGAGCATGGGGCAAGAGAAGACAGATGCTCTCTGAAGAGAGAAGTTTCTCTGAAGAAGTTTCCTGGAAGGAAACTGTGCTTTCCACATCGTGTAGCTAACATGATTCCGTGAAAGACTGCTCAGACGTCCAGTAACGTCTGGTATGGGGTCTGGCCTAATTCTCAGTTCTGTAGCCAGAGCAGAAATCGGAGCAAAGGTGACAGTCGTACCGGTAAGGTAGGAATTCAGAATGTGTCAGCTGAGCTCACGTTTCCCCGAACACCGCGTCGCGTGAGTAGGGCTTGGAGAGAAGTGCTGTGGGAGTGGCTGAGTTCGCCAGGGGGCGGCCCAGAGACGTGGTGGCCGTACGACAGCTCCTCCTCCCTCACGCTCCTGTAGCCAGAGGCCCTGGTGGCAATGGGGTGCGTTTCTCTGCGCCGTGAGGGCATCTGCTCCAGGCCTTTCCCCGCTCCTGGCACTTTGCTGGCGATCTCCGGCGCCCGCGGGCTCAGGGGGGCAGCTCCCCGACCTCCACCCACATCTCTCCTGCCATTCTCCCTGAGCACGCCAGTGTCTAGATTGCCCCGTGACAGGACACCGGTCACTGGGTTAGGGACCATCCTACCCACCAGCTCCCAACAAGGCCCCCCGGTGAAGCACTGGCGATTTCTGGGGATGCCCTTAATGGAGAGCACCATGACTTGTCACTTGTCAGACGAGCCTGTGGCCAGCTAGGGGAGTAGGTACGGGGCTGGCTCTATGCGCCCGGGACTTCCCAGGGAACCCTGATTGGAGGCATCTCTGGAGGATGACAAGGGCGCCTCTCTTCACCGTCACCCTGGGAGTGAGGGCCACAGTCTCGTGAATCTGCGCAGTGGCGAGCAGGGGATTCTTGGGCCCAGGAGGAAGGCTGTGCGCGCTGTGTCTTCAGGAGATGGAGGGCGTCTCATGGCTGCAGAGCTGGGATTCTGGAGGAGGAAGGCAGTGGTGTGTTTGTGTCGGGTGGCAGGCGGGTAGAAAGCAGGGTAGGCTCGGTGCAGAGCTGAAGAGGGCCTGCCAGGAATTTGGGCTCCTGAGGTCAGAGGAAGGCTGTCACAGGCTCAGGGGCTGGGAAGCCCGCGCATGAGCAGGGGGGCTCCAGGTCTGGGTGGGAGGCAGACCAGCCAGCTGAGAGGTGGGAGAAGCAGGAGGAAGACTCGGGGGCGGGGGGAGGGTACCAGGTCTGTGCCTGAGGAGACCAGGGCATCCACAGCACCCCATGTCTGGAGGGGCGAACAATGCCACCCACGGGGCGTTTACTGGCTCACGGGAAACGCAGAGCAAAGACTGCTTCCTCCAAGCAGCCCCGGCATCCTGCCTTGGAGAGTTTGCGTTGACCCTGGGACTCTGAGGGACCACGCGTCCCCGCGCTGCGCAGCCAGTCCCAGGACAGCCCCAGCGGAGCACGAGCTGGACCGTGGTGCATGGGACAGAGGGAGCAGCCTCCCCCAGACTAGTAGCCGTGTGAGCCGGACAGCCATGCACCCAAAGCCTGTCTGGTCCTCTGGCCGTAGGTCTGTCCTGGTGGGAAATGCGCACCCGTCCCACCAAAGGCTAGCTCTTTCACGATCCCGTGGGGGCTGGCTGGTCCCCTTCAGGAAGCAAATTCTCTGGAAGCCATAATTGATGGCATCTCCCAATTCCTGGGCTTAAACGCCTGCTGGCTGTTGGTCTGAGGGTAGCTCGTTGTCACTGCGCGGTATTACGTTAGCGTGGGAACCACCCCGCGAGGACAGAGGAGCATCGGAAAAGGCATGGGGCCATGGAGCGTGGACGTCGAGGCGTCTGTGTTTTGCGAAGCGCCACTTGCCTTTCTGACCTTGTGCACTCACTGCCGCGGTCCCTTCTCTTGTGTCTTCCTCAGGAGTGCTCCAGCTTCGCCCACTCACCCTGGGCTAATGTCCCCCCGTTCTAGTGGCCTGCAGACCCCAGAGTGCCTGTCTCGAGAGGGCTCACCCATTCCACACGACCCTGACTTTGGGTCAAAGTTAGCTTCTGTTCCAGAGTATCGGTACTCCCAAAGTGCGCCCGGTAAGATGGTCTCGTCCCTGCCCCCCGGCGTGGTGGAGCGGAGCGTCACAAGTCTGCGGGCCTCAGCGCTCCTGTTCCTTCTCTCACAGGCTCTCCCGTCAGTGCCCAGCCCGTGATCATGGCCGTGCCTCCCCGCCCGCCCAGCCTGGTGGCCAAGCCGGTCGCCTACATGCCGGCGTCCATAGTGACGGCGCAGCAGCCTTCGGGCCATGCGATCCATGTCGTGCAGCAGGCCCCGCCCGTCGCCATGCTAAGGGTGGTCACCACCTCCGCCAGCTCTGCCAACGGCTACATCCTCGCCAGCCAGGCCTCGGCAGGGGGCGCCCACGAGGCAGCGGGCACAGCTGTGCTGGACCTGGGCAGCGAGGCCAGAGGTAAGGAGGGCGTGTACTCACCGGGCTGCGATGGGGATGGAGCTCACCTGCTGGGGCAACAGGCAGTCCCTGGGGGCCAGCAATTCTCAGGCTGCTGCCTTTCCTCCCTGCTACTTACTGTCTTGGGGAGTGCGTCCTTTTAAATCCACGCCGATGGTCCTCCAAACCGTCTCCAGGCGTGCGGCCCCCGATCTGACAGGCCTGGGACACGGGCTTGATGTTGCCGTCCAGAGGGTGATGGCTTCGGGGTCCCCGGCCAGGAGGCTTTAGCTGTCCCGCAGAAAGTCACCACAGGTCCCTGTGTGTGGTGTCTCGAGCCCAGGGGGTCATGGGGTCAGTACGGAGAGCGCAGCTGCCTAGGCGGGAGCCCTCAAGCCACACACGGTCTCCTGGGCTCTCGGGCCTCCGTCTGCTGAGCCGCAGCCCGTTCGTAGTGTCATGACAGCGAAGCAGTTTGCCAGTCTTTTTGTTCCAAATAATGTTTTCTTTTCCCCGTTATGTTTGGGTGGGTTAAAGTTCAAGGTATTTAGAAGTTTTTCTAAAATTTTACAGTTGTTTTTTTTACTTGGAATGTATTTCGTTGGGGGATGTTTCTTTTGAGAATAGTTAATGCTTCAAAACCACGGTCCGTTCCCCCATAAACAGACTCCCTGATGAGCACGGAGGAGAGTGGGCCGCCCCATTGGGCGGATGGGGTTCTCACACCCTTTCTCCTGCAGGCCTGGAGGAGAAGCCCACCATCGCGTTTGCCACCATCCCCACCGCCAGCCGCGTCATCCAGACCGTGGCCAGCCAGATGGCCCCAGGGGTCCCCGGACACACGGTCACCATCCTGCAGCCAGCCACACCAGTGACCCTCGGGCAGCACCACCTCCCCGTCCGGGCCGTCACTCAGAACGGCAAGCACGCGGTCCCCACCAACAGTTTAGCCAGCAGCACTTACGGTGAGGCCCTGCCCACTCCTGCTTTCCTCAGCCCCACTGTTTTGCCAGTGAGGCCTGCGGCACGAGATCGTATGTCCCCTTGATCCGCGGGCCCCGTGGTCGGGCCAAGGCACAACCCCTGCCACAGAGGCAGATCCCCCAGTCCTGGTACTTGTGCCCACTGGGTCAGACGAGAGGTGGGAGGGAGGGGCAACGGTTGGAGGTGGACGGGGAGGGCGGGCGCAGGGAGGGTGGCTCAGGGCAGGCGGCCTGTTTTAAGCATCTGCTAGAGGTGAGGGCAGGAGCCCTTGGCTGTCTATAGGGATGCCAGTGGCAACAGCAAGAGGAGGCCTCTCGGGTGAGAGCAGGGTGGGGGCAGAGAGGGCGTGGCAGGCAAGGCTCAGCTGGCGAGGGGCAGGCACCCCAGGGCTGGGCATGCTGGGAGCAGGGGTCCCTTGTGCTCAGAACTGGCCTGCGCTGGTCTTCGCCCATTGCCAACGCACATCTCCTTTCCTCCACTCCTAGCCCTCACCAGCCCCCTGCAGCTCCTGGCAGCCCAGGCTAGTTCGTCCACGCCGGTGGTGGTCACGCGGGTGTGCGAGGTGGGGCCCGAGGAGCCGGCAGCAGCGGCTGCCACCCCAGCCACCCCAGCGACCCCGGCCACTGCTGCCACCTCTGCCTCTTCCACCGGGGAACCCGAGGTTAAAAGGTCACGTGTGGAAGAACCCAGTGGGACTGTGACAGCGCAAGCCGGGGTGATCGCGGCCGCTGGCCCACAGGGACCCGGAACCGGGGAGTGATGTACCCTGTGTGTGGGCCGAGTGGGATGCTCGCCAAAAGGGATTCTGGGGCCGGGCCCTGACTGCCGGCCTCCCGCCGCCCGCGGACCGTGACGAGGAGGCTCCACGCTGACCTGCTCCCGGACACACTCGTCCTTCTTGTTCTGTTTCCTACCCCTGCTGTGGTTTAAAACAAAACCCATAAACAAGTTCAGACAGCTGATTGTATGATCCAGGAATGCTTGTTTTTATTTTCCTTCTCCCTTGCACCGTGTCTCCTCCCAGGCCTGCGGTCGAGGGCTAGGTCACGGGCCGGCCCGGCCACACGCACAGACCAGGCTTCTGGAACAGCCTTGGCCCCCGAGGACGACAGAGGCTGTGCGCAGGAGGGCCCAGCAGGCACAAGGCCCGTGAGCCGCTGAGCGGGAGGAGGCAGGAGAGAGGGAGGACCTGCCAAAGCTCAGACTGTCTCGTGGGGTTTGTGCCCTAAAGTAGCGACACGGAAAGTCTTGGCATTAATCGGGGGGAGGGGACTCTGGTTTGGCTTTGGACCCCAAAGACTTGTTGTTTCATTGAAATGAATTGAGGCTTCATCGTAGATCTGAGATAAACGCAGGAGGAAGCTCGTGTCTCTGAGGCCATGTCTGTGGACGGCGTAACAGCTGTGGGTCTGGGCTGTGAGCCGGCATTAATCCCGAGAAGAGTCGCCACCGCTGCTCCGTCTGCTAACTTCAAGAAAGATCGGCGGCCGCCTGGATCGCCCTTGGGGGCAGAAAGTTATCTGGGGGAGGAGCGATGCCCCTCGTCTGGAGGCTCCGAAACTAGGAATCGGTGAGCGCCATGTTCTCTGCGGCCCGAGGCCCTGTGCCGGGTTGCCGTGGGAAGCACTGGCCAGGTCGCTCCCACCACCTCTGTCACCGAGTCACACTGGCTTTACCACCCGTACCTCCTGCCGTATGTCCCGCCGTCTCCTGTGCCTGCGGCACTGGGGCCAGGAGCGGAGGCCACCCCTGCCTTTGGCTCCTGCGAACTCCTGGCCACAGGACCCGGCGAGTGGTACCAGCTTCCCCAGGGAGGGTCCCCTGTGCTTGCAGACACCCCCTGCTGCCTGGAGCGGTTCCCGGAGCAAGAAGGGAGCCCGCCGAATCACAGTTCTCCAGCTCCTCGTGGAGATCGTTCTCAGGAAACGTCAAGTGCATCTGTGAAAAGTGACTCTGAACGTGGCCGGCCGCCCTGGCATTGGACCCTGTGTGGCACAGCAGCCCCGGGCTCTGCACCGAAGTCCGGCGGGGACAGTTTTCTTCCTGGAAGTAGCCTGTCCTCAGCATTGGTCTCCCCGCCCAGCAAAGTTGCCTGCGCCCACCCACCCCGACAGCAGCACCCGTGAGAGCACGCAGTCCCCAGAAAACTGCTGAGAGGAGGAGCAGGCCTCATGGGCCACATCAGATACTGGCTTCAGAACAAGAGGAAAACCGTGGAACTCCGCTTCCAGGCCGTTCACGCAGGACTGGCTCGTGTGCTATGCGCCCCACCAGCAGCGCTGTGGCTGGGCTGGGTGTGACAAGCCGTCTTGCCGCCACAGCCCGCAGTTGCCGGTTGCTGGGGACACGTGCGGCCTGACCTCCTCCCTGGCCCGTGGTGACAGCTGCCCTGGCGTCCTTAGAGCCTGAACGAGGCATTTCTACTGCACGAAACTTAAAGTGGGGGAAAAGCCCTCTTGTGACATCCACACCTGTTGGCTTCAGTGACATGGGCACGGACTTGGCCGTGTGCCGTCCTCAGTGATGAGAAGTCGCACTCCGTTCTGCATCGACGTTTTCCGTTGCTTTATAAACTTGGTCTCTTGTGGCGTGTGGTGCGTGCACGAGCGGGCACACGGGTTGGGCGGAGGCCGAGGCACGCACACGGGCGATTCAGGTCCTTGCCTTGGGCCTTACCTCTAAGGGTCTGCCCCAGGACCTGCCTTTGGCTCACCTGTTGCTGCTTCTTCCCCGTGGTCATCATTTACAGGGTCCTTGCGAGGGGGACTGCCCAGGTTTGTCTACCGTGCAAAAGCTGTCACCATCTCCAGAGAACTCAGGACACTCAGCCACGGACGCGCATCAGGCATTTGCCCGATCGGGTCCGTCTGGCTCTGACCCTTTGCTTTCCCGGCTCTTGAGATGTTTGGGTTTCTGCTCATTTTGGGTGATGATCGCACTGTCCAGGCAGGGGTTCCCTGAGGAGGGAGCGTGGAGAGGTCAGAACGTCAATGGCTGGTGTTGCGTCACGCGGAGAGCTCACACCTTTTCGGCTCCTGCTGGGGCTGGGAAGGGGACCCTGTGGGGTCTGCTCAGTCTGGGCCTTGGGGGAACAGCCACTCTGGGTTCACAGACTGAGCTTCTGCATGGGTCTCTAGTCACCTCATGCTGCCGCACGTCCTGGGACTGGTACCTGAAGGCCCGGGATGGCCCCCGCTTCTGGCCCTCAGAGCCAACCAAGGGACGGCCTCCCCCAACCCGGAAGCAAGGGCACCAGGCCAGACGTCACCAGAGGACTGCGGCCCTCCGAATTGGGGCTGCCTATGACCCACCACAAGCCACAAACACACCCGCCCTCCTAGAGAGCAGGCCAACCCCGGCCAGGATTGGGAGAAGCAGAGATAGGTCCGTTCTGGCATCAGGCGGCGTCACTGTGGCCTCAAGGGTCCGAGGACCTTCTTGATCACCCTGGGGTTCACGCGTGTGTGAAGAGGTCAGCCAGGCCAAAGGTGTGTGGGCTTCGGGATGAGCCCACCTCCTCCGCGCCATACCCTGGGGCACACAGGCCCTGTGCTCCCAGTACCAGGTGCCTCGTCTCATCGTCCTGCTGGACCGGTCACCATGTTTACCAGCACCAGAGACGGGAAAACACCCTCTCTGCCTAGGGAGTCACACACGTCACCCCTTTTCAGTAGTTGGGCGTTCCCCAGCAAGACAGTCTGCTCTCGTGTTGGAAGGGGGAGGCTTGTACCCCAAGGTCATGGCGGTGTCACAGGGCCCAGTGCACGGGCAGTGTGGGACACTGAAGGCCGTGGAGACGTGGCTCCTGGCGCCCCAGGGTGGACCTCCTGAGCTGTCTGTATCTGTCCACGCTGACGCCCTCCCGAGTACCGCGTGCTAGCCGAGGACCAGCCAGACAGCGCCGTGGGGAGTCGACAGACTGTCCCTTTACCACCAGCTCTGTAAATTCGGACACGTTTACATGGCGTGTGTCCCTCGAGGGGTCCACACAGATGCCGGAACAGCCCCAAGTCCTGGGACATGGCCGTCGTGGCCCTGCCCCACGCTCCGAGGATGGCAGGACCCCTCACTGGGTCCGCCATGCAGAGCCACGTGAGGGCACCCTGGGGCAACAGGGTCTGTGCCCACGGCCAAGCCCGTCCGCTTCCCTCTCTGGCGGGTTCATGTTTGAGGTTTGCTGTTTTTCTCTTTAAGAACCGAGCAAAGTTGAGAAGATGAGGGGTGTTCTCTGGGTTGATAAAATGAGTAATCCGTGATCCTCGAGCTGGGAGGGAACAGGTTCAGGGTGGGGGTGTTGGCACCGCTGGAGCGTGGGGGTCCCCACTTCGCCTCAAGCAGCCTGACCATACAGGGTCCAGAGGGGACATCCTGGTCCCTTTCCTGCTGCTCCCTGGGACTGGCGGATGACCGGCTTGAGGCCTCCAGCATCACTGGGTCCGCATGCTTGCTTTCCTGAGAACAGGTCTCCGGCTCTCCGTGGAGCACTGGGAGGCCGCCACCCTCTCCAGAGGGAGTGACGCGACTCCCCTCTGTGGAATCCCTGTCGTGGGTCCAGAGTTCAGGAGAAAGAGCAGGCTTGCCTCTGGCCTTGGGGTCAGTTTCTTCATAGAACAGAAACAGGCCTCACGCAAAGAAGGGAGCTCGTCGTCAAACATGAGAACATGTCAGAGAAGAAACGCAGCTCCCCGAGCTCTGGGAGCTCAGCTGTCAGTCCGGGGGTGTGAGCAACTGTGGGGGGCGCAGGACGCCTCGGGGGCCCATGGCCCAGCCCCCTGTCTCTGGGAGGACCCAGCTCCCCTGAAAGGGGTCTCAGGGCAGCCCAGCCTGTGGGCATGGACGCCTGTGTCCACGTGAGTCTGTAAGTGCACTCCTTGTTCTAGAACCAGGTTCTAGAAGCTGGGAAGTGGAAGGCCGCCTGACCTCAGCCCCACTGCTGGTTTGGCCTGAAGGAAAGCCCGTTTCCTGCAGCCCCTCGCCAGCCGCCTTGACGATCCTGCCTCGGAGTGACAGCGCGCGGATGAAATCTCGCAGACTGGCTGCTCCAGACGGGCCGCCACCCCTCACCCTGTTTCTGTCCATCGTTTTCAAGTTGTTTCCCCATTTTATAAAGCCCTTTCATTTTAGGAGCTGTTTCCCAAGACCTCGATTCCCCCATGAGGTTTTAAACGCTCAGGACACAGCCAGGTGGGTGCGGGACGCTGCTGCATTTTTACACGGGACGGAACTGAAAGTCTTGGAATTAGTGAGACTTGGGGCTCCTGTGTGTCCGTTCTAACCGCTGGTTTTGGCCCTCGCCGTTTCAGCCAGGAGTGAGCGGAGCAGCGCTATCTCTAAGGACAAACGCCACAAAGCACTTTGTCCAGTTCTGGCACCTGCTTGTCATTGGGGTGCACTTGGGGGATGGGAGAAGCGGGGATTCGGGGCCGCGGGGGTCGGGGGCGGCCGGGAGCCCGCTGCATGGGAGCTGCGTCCGTGGCCTGCGTCCTGCGGGTTCTAGTCTCCCACCCGCGTCCCAGGCGGGCCAGAGAGTCTCCGGGTGCCTCTCTCCTTTGCTCCGACCCTGTTAACTTTTTAAAAGAGTCAAATACAATTGGAAGAATCCTGGCTCCTTCTCTGTTTGGGAATTTTTTCTGGAATAGTTAGTTTGATTCCTCCAAGTACTTCTTGATGGTTTACGCCACGTCAGAAACAGTGAAAAGTGCCCGGGAGGAAGGTGCTTAGCCGCAGTAAAGGGCCTTGCCCTCCTGAGCTGTCTCCCCGAGTCCCGAGGCGCGTTGAGACCTGCCCCTGAACGTCGAGCCCGCGGGCTGCGCAGAAAGGAGTCTGTGACTCCTAAGCTGGGTTTTCCCACGTGAAGTTAAGGGGCTTGTGGCCTCCTAAGCTCTTGGCCTCTAAGTTCTGTGTTAACTGACCCCCGTCTTTTTCTTTATTTTTTTAATAATCCTTAAAAATGGGATTTAAAATAAA